CCCACACAATAGAGAAACTGTTTTGTTCACAATAAAGTTGGCCCCTCGTTTATGCACCTACAGGTAATGGGCGGCAGCCGACACCCCGCATCATTCTTGAATTACAATCACAGATACAGAGCTGCTGGTGTTTAGAGTATATGCCGATTGTGTTGCCTTTGCTCTGACGAACATGATATCTTTAATGCTGGAGGAGAATTTGTAGTTTTGTGGGATATGAAGTACAAAAAATGGTAATATGAGATTCCTCTGTTTTGTCCTAGTGAGACATGTTGCATTAGTGGAAGTTGCATTCTTTCTTAGCACAACTAAAAGATTACCTCTCTCCTTGATTTTCGCCTTCTAATTTTCAATCAGCTTTTGCATGCATTTAAATTTTACTCATGGGTGCAACAGTTTGAGGGTGTTATTTGGAAAATAAAAACAAATAAACTTTAAAATTTGAGGATGTAATTGGCAATTTTCCTTTTAAAAATTCTATGTTCTTTGTTATATTGTGCAGAATTTGATGGAGAATGATCTTTCTCAAGGGACTTGGTGTGTCTTGAATTTATCTTTGCAGCATAGTGATGTCCAGGCATAGAACTGGCTGAAAATTCGGATGTCATTTGCATTTCTCTTGCTAAGAAAAAAAGCTCTCAAGCTAAGTGCAGATTACTTGTGCTAAAAGGACACGTTCAGAGGTTTCCTAAGATCACCAGTTGTCGCATGTATTGTAAATATGGGTTTCATGGGAAGGAATAAGTAGTAAAACTAGCGGCTTATGATTCTTGACTTCTTGTTGTTGAAGTTCTTCTGCATGAAATCTGGCAAAATGTTTCTCCTTGTCTAATGTGGTTCATATTTTATTTATACCCCCACTTGTACTTTCACTCATTTGAGATTGTATTATGTTCTGTACATGCTCGACGTAAGGACTGGTTATATTTGTTTATATATATTTGCTTGCCACTGCAACAGAGATTTGCAATCAAGTGAGATATGACGAAAAAGCTTAGCCCAAGCGAAGGAAATGGTATGTTGAAGTACTATTTTGTTTTTATTTTTATTTTTGCTTAAGCCCTCTCGTTATTTATTGCTCAAATTGTGGTTTTAGGTCAGGTCAGTTTGACTTTAATCTTTCATGTTAGATGAATGAAATTATACATGGGAGACGTTTTACGGTGTCGGAAGAATTGAGCTTCTTTAAAATGGAGACATGGAATTGATGTGGGGAGATTTTTGTGTGTGTGTGTGTGTGTGTGTGTGTGTGTGTGTTTGTGTGTGTGCAAAAACTGTGGGGAGAACTTGTTAGTTGATGCAATTCTTTTTTTTTGTTGGCCTGTCATTTCATTTTTATTTCATATGGGGGGACCAAAATGCCACTATGCTGGGAATTTGCATCTATCTGATTATCTGCAGTTGTGTTGATTTCTAATAATGTTTTGCTTCCTTGGCTATAATTTATTCTTCAGATAACTCGGGTGATTTGATATAAAAAATTTCAATTCTCTTTTCATACAATTTTTTTTTTTAAAAAAAATAAATTCAATTCATTACATCTTATCCTTAGGAAGTCCACTATCACAATTAAAAACTATATAATGATCAATATGTTAAAACTATATAATGATCATTATAAAATATGTTTTAATAAATTATGTTATTCATTGATTTGCTTATTTTTAACTATCACTTTTTTTTTTAGTTATATTTTATTATTTTTATATTGCATCAACATTTTTTTTTTTTTTTTTAAACTATAGAATTCATTCATAGAAAAGATGTACAATCCGATATACCAAGCCTTGATGTTAAAACACAAATACAAAGGAGAATCATCCCGAGGATGACCTAGAATTTAAATAACATAAATCAAAGCCATAGGCAACAACAAAGGCTGAAACCTACAGCAAACAATACAACCAAAAACTCAGAAATTGCAAGCAACTAAATCTGTAGACCATAAGTACAAAGAGTGGGCAGATACAATAACAACAACAACAACAAAGTCTTTTAGTCCCAAACAAGTTGGGGTAGGCTAGAGATGAAACTTGAGAGAAACAGTGGTAAGAGAAACACAAAAAAGGGCTAAAACAAAACAAAACTAAAAAAAAAGGAAGAGATACATGAAGAATAATATCTACTGAACCCAAAGGGACCTAGATCAACTACACCATCATCACTGCACTCCTCTGTTAAGCCTGCAATTTTTGAATTCCTACCAATCACCTGAAGCTGCCTTAAGAATTGCATGATCTGGCATCCAAGTATTCTGAAATTTCCAGAGATTCCGGGACTTCCAAAGCTACCATAATATGTAAGTTGATAGCTCTATCCTGGCTTCTGAAACATCCCTTTTGTCGAGTGAACACACCTCCCACCACCAGTGTTTAAAAGACCCAGTTGCAGCTGATTCTTCCCATTGCAGAGGAGACAATTTCCAAATTCTTTTGGCCCTGGTACACTGGAACAACATATGTTCTACAATCTCCGCCTCTTCCCCACAGCTTGAACAGATAGGATCAAAATTTAAGCCCATTCTTCTTAAATTCATATTAACAGGAAGAGTGTCTGAGTAACATCTCCACAGAAAGTGCTTAAGCTTTTGCTTAACTTTGAGGCCCCAGCTTCTGATTCTAACTCTTCTTTCAATAATGGCAGAGCCACTACCCTCAGTTAAGTCCATCTCCCTCAACTTATTAAGAACCAGAAAAGAGTAGGAGCTAGAGACTGAGAACTTACCTCTGCCATCCAGTGCCCAGGTCCATTTGTCTTGCAAAATGGGATCAAGAGTAGTGATACTCAACACAACAGCTGCATCAGAAGGATTAAAGAAACTCTCCACTTTCAGTTTGTCCCAAGTCCTGCCATCACCTTCAATCAGTTCATTAACCCAGGTAACTTGACTCATTCCCACCCCATTCTTCTCTGGCAGTCCATTCATCAAACCTGGGATCCATGGGTCAGTCCAAACATCAATGCCCTCTCCAGATCTTACCCTGACATGAAAAAAGTTTTTGAACTTGTCCTTCACTAGAAACTAATTGCACCAGAGCCATGAAGTGTTGTAAGGCTTTGTGGCTTGTAACACATAGCAATCAGGAAAATACTTCCCCTTGAGAACTCTTGACACCAACAGCTTAGGATTTGTAGTAATTCTCCAGATCTAATTCAAGATTAGTGCCTCATTGAATAAGGCAACATCTCTAAATCCTAAGCCTCCCCCATCCTTTGGTACAGTAACCTTCCTCCACTCTTTCCAATGAATGCCAGAATGATGGTCATTAGTGGCCCACCAGAACCCTACTGACAGTCTAGATATCTCTTTGCAAATACACTTAGGCAAGCAGAAGCAAGACATGGAGAAAACTGGCATGGCTCCCAACACAGCCTTTAGAAGTACCTATTTTCCTGCAAAAGACAAATATTGGTTCTTCCAACTCACAAGTTTAGCCCTTACTGCACTCAGCACAAAATCAAAAGACTTTTTCTTAGACCTACCAATACCTAGGGGGAGCCCTAGGTATCTGGTTGATCTGTGAACTTGTATTCCCCCCTATCAGCTGACAAATTTCATTTTGAATAGAGCTCAAGCAATTCTTACTAAAATAGATGGAGGTTTTACTGAGATTGACTTTCTGTCCAGTAAACCTTTGATACATGTGCAACAGATTCAGCAGAATATTAGCATGACTCCTATCAGCCTCACAAAGAATAAGAGTATCATCAACAAACATTAGATGAGATACTGTTGGGCTTTTCTTAGCAATCCTCAATCCCTTAAATCTCACTCTGGCCACTTCATCATGAATCAATTTTGATAATACTTCAGAGATAAGGATAAAGATATAAGGAAACAGAGGGTCCCCTTGTCTAATACCCCGAGAAGCCTTAAAATAACCCTGCAACTCACCATTCAAATTCAGAGAGAAAGAAGTATATGAGATACATGCCCACACCCATTTGACAAATCTGGCATGAAAGCCCATTTTAAGCATAACCTTCCTGACACTCCCCCATTCAATTCTATCAAATGCCTTCTCCATATCTAATTTGATCAACATGAAACTTTTCTTCCCCGTTCTAAGCCTATTCAAATAATGGATGGCTTCTTGAGCAATAACCACATTATCCAGGAGTTGTCTACCAGGAATAAAAGCAGACTGATTTTCACATACACAATCAGACAGACAAGCTGTTAGTGTTATATACTGAAAGCTTGGCTTTGGATGATATTACACTTTTACCCTTTATGAATGAGAAACATGTTAGATTAAACAAGTTTTACGTTCTGTTGTTTTGCATTAGATAGTGTGGGTCGTCATCGGGCGAACCGAAGATCATGATATCAGTTATTCGCGAAACAAGAATTAGTGGTTCATAACCCAGATGGACATGAACACCCCATCGCAAACGATTGTAGTGTCAACTGTACAGTTTATCTTGACTGATTAGCTGCACTAGTACATTTATGTATTAAACAGGATCCCAGAGAGGAGCAGTTCGTTTTATACTGATCGTCATAAACGAACTAGGCCTCGGTTAATTACTGCGTACTCTTAACCCGTGAGATATTAAACAGACATATATGTGTAGTATTTATTACTTTGATTCACATGGGTGAGGCTTAGTGAACTGGGCCAATAGACCCGCTGTCTTGGGTAATATTGCTACATGTAGGATGTGCTGTTAGGATATTTACGGTCACCATGTGCGTTAGTTTGATGATGTCCTTGGAGTGAGTTCATGAAAGATTATTATGCTAAACCCTGCAGGTGGATTAAATTCCGGCATAGTAATAGTGTGATGAACGAGCGCTAGCTTCGATGAAATAATAATAAATTAATTAATTCTTGATTGTCAGTAATCGAATTAATTAATGGACATTATATTTTAAAAATGGGGAGATAAATCGAGTAATTATTACTGGAGTCTCAATTGTAAATTGGGCTAGGAAAAGGGAGTGCAATAATATTATATTGGTGGCCCATTTAATATTATTTAATTAATTAAATTAAGTAGCTTGGTCCACAAGTATTTAATTAATTAAGGAGCCCTAATCCTAATCTCCTAAGGATCCCTACTGTAGCTCTATATATACATCATTAAGCTCATGAGAAGAGAAGAGATTCCACATCTTGTGAAACATGCCC